CATACGAATGTAGGTATTTTAAGCTAAGTATGAATGGAGATGAGTTTAAGATGAGCGGTGGGATCTTGTAGTCTTGTTGGTGACTAAGGCCGACATATTCCTTAGACACAGCTATTAATTACAACTAACATACAGCCCAACAACGTCAACAGCCCATACAGCCAATCACAACTAAGGGACTTACAGTTTATAGTGGAATCCAAACCACATTTTTTATTTGTACCGTACGTAATTTACGAATTGGTCTAATTATCAGAATAGTACTGCGGATAGTTAATGCGGATAGTACTGCTTGCGTAAGTTTGTGTTACTTGCATTCTGAATGGTAACCTGTCGTTGCTGATTTACGAGTATCGCTTTGTGATCAATGATCATGCTTTATATTATAATTTGAGGTTTCAGTTGTGTTTTTCCCCTTTCTGTGTAATATTTTTCTGATAATGACTTAGGACACAAATAGTGGTTGCAATGAAAGATAAATTTAAATCCTTGAACAGTCTAATGAAGACATTATTTATTTAATGATATTTATTGTAAACTTTGGTTTTTCATATTATTTGTTGTGTTATATGAGCTTTCTGCTCATCTTACCTTGGTTAGGATTGAATCAAGACTATACTGTAGTTTGTAGTTGAGCATTGAACATTTTTACTTTAGAGAAATTGAGCAATTTGTCAGAGGTTGAAATCAAATTGGCACCTGCATGCATGTTTTTGCTCTGTATTCAGCAACAAATTGAGAGGAAATGTAGCTTGTAGTTGTCTCCGTGGTGGAAATATCTTGCAGCTGCTATACACAAATCTGCTGACACCTCGAGGTCAAACTAATAAATAGCACAATCCCTGCTTTGATCTATACTCCACTGCAATACTGTGTCAAATGTTGCCAAACGCCTTGGATCTGATAATTACTGGTCAGTAAGCTTGTTCAAGCTCAAATTATTATTTGAAATTGAAATGTATCTAGTTGGTTTTCCTATCCTTGCTTTGCAATTTATTTTGGTATTTTTCTACTCCAGTGGTTTTTGCTAGAGAAAGGTCCAAATCCTTGTCTTGTTAGTTGTTACTATCTAATGTTGGTTTTTTTTAGAAAGCCTTTTCTAGCCCAATGACAAATAAAAATTGGCATCTAAGTCCGAAATCAAACCTGCTTGGAATCTAATCAGCAATCTTCAGATATAAGGAGAACACTATAAACACTCTGCTATCCAGACAATTGGATGAGGATGCAGCCCAAAACAATTAAGAAACAGTTACAGACACACACACACCATTTATTATAAAATCAAAATGTTTGTTGTGTGTTTACAAATCTAAACATATTAAAGTCAAAGCACTCACCCATTAACTTTTTTTATAATATTTATAATTTTACTTTTTTATTTTACACTTTGATTTATCCAATTACCAATGTTTTTGTAGACAATTTTAATGTGAACAAAATGGCGAAAGAATTATTAATTTATTAACAATCAGCGCAGTCGGTTAGGTAGTTTTTGGGTTTACCAGAGAAATACGTCCAACAGAAATAACCTCTTCTTAGTAATTGTTTTATAGACATAAGCAGTTGAAAAAATCTATTTTATTGCTTCAACAGTAAAATCAAGACTCTTTGAACAATAATAAAATTGGTAATGTTAAACTAAGATTCCTATGTTTTTTACTGAGATTAATGTTTTAATTAATTTATAATATAACAATTATTAAGAAAGGAATTTTCTTTCAAAGATTGTAATTCTTAAAAGTGTCGCCTATTCATTCATGCTTTTAACAGTAAGGTGTCGAGTGTTGTTTGGAACCACTGTTTTGACTGAGTCACTGGCAGACGAATGGTTAGTTTGTATTTGTTACGGTTGTTGAAGGACGCTCTAACATTGCCCTACAACTGTAAATAGCCCTCGAGTTTGGTGCATTCTGGGTAATGTGTTGTTTGTGTTCTCTGTTGAACTGGTCAGTAATGTTCCTTGGAACAAATTGAGGGTCTTTCAAAACTGATCTTTGTTTAAGAATAGAAAACTTACAAATGGCCGGTTCCTTTTTTTAAGATAATTTGACAAAAAAGGTCAAGATCTTATGTAACACTGTATATTAGATCTGGAAACACTATAGTGCAGACAACCAGAGATGATTAATGTGAATGGTGACAGTCCGGGTTTCAAAAATCATTTCAACCTTCAATTGCAAATTCAACTTTATAAAATCCAAAACTGTGATCATCAACATGTAGTAGTTTATTATTTATTAATTATTTAAAATACTAATCACAAAATCTTCAAACACTTAAATTACCATTGAACATATACACAATCTTTCCCATATAGGGAATAAGCCATTAACATAGGTCTCATGGTAAGACCTAGACCCTTGACCAATTTACTTTTTCCTTTTGATATTCCTAGAGGCCAAAAACATCATCCTTTCAAATTCACGTTTGTGTTTCCGTTAGCTGTTGCTGTTGTTGTTTGTAATTTTTTTTAATATGAAATAAATCTAACGGTTGAAAGAGAAAATTTTATTTTACTGAAAATGCAAACATGTAGATCAAAATTTGCTCAGTCTGCAGGTTTGCTGCAGCAGTGGTATCAGTATTAACAATTATATAAATTCTATGTTGTACTGGCAAGGTAACAAGACAAGAATAGAACTAATTGTTCCGTTGTTCTTTTAAAATACTTACAAATAATTCTGGTACATGCCTAAAATATATTAATTACTACGAATTTATGTAAGTGATGATTGTTAGTGTCGCAACTTGAAATCAACGTAGACTTGTTTGTGTAGGCAGAGCGATGCGTTGGCAAAGTTCTAACGTTCCATCAGCAAGGACGACACTGATGTCATAAATAATGTTATCGAGATTAAAATAAACCTTACTCTAGAGGCTAATTTATCTTTATTAGTTATTTTTCCCCTTGCAGAGGAGTGATTCAATAATTCATCATACTCAAAACATTTCTTTGATTCCTAAAACGTTTTGTCCCCAACAGTCTAAAGAAACACAAACATCCTTAATAGTACTTGTTTTTCATTTAGCTTTTTTGTAGCTGTTTTCAGTTTTATCAAGTTTAGAATCATCAGGATTTAAATAAATAGTTCTGAAACAGCTAGTCTTGGTCAGTAACAGAGCTACAAAAAGCACGGTACTCTGTTCTGCACTCCTTTTTACTCATATTTATCATAAAAGTTTTAAAATTGGACAGAGTTTCAATGTGGCTTAAATAGAATTGCAAATATAATGCATCTCCAAACTTCAACACTGTTTAAGAGTTCATTAATTACACTGTTGCTGTAGCAAACAGTTTTTAAGATAGTAAAAAATACATAAGATGTGACATCAGCTATTAATTTAAACTAATCACATCGGTGAACTTAAATCTTGAACGATTCACGTTACAAGTACTTCTCACAAGTTACGAGTCTCACCAGGAGATATAAAGTGATTGTAGGCTGGTCTGTGACGTGGAGTATTGGCAGTCCGCCTGCCTGGAAATAGCAGCTCCCGATACAACCTTGTATCAGACGGTAATGTTGCCGTTTACACCAGCTTCTGTGTGGTTACCCTAGGCCAATCAGGTAAACAGTTGGCAAGGAGGGTTGAGGAATTTGGGCTCTAAGTGAAATTTGATCTGGAGCGAAAATTAAGTCTGGTAGTTTTTGGGAAATTAGTAAAATGTTTAGGATTCGGAATATTCCGTTTTGTATACGTTAACAATTCAATCCTGAAGAAAATTAGTAGCTGTTTGATTGTTCAAAAATAGTCCAGATGTGCTTGATCATTGAGATGGAAAAAACAGTAGTCTTGGGTAAAGAACAGATTATCCTATTCATTAAAAAGGCTGATTTCATTATTTTAACACTCGCCCATAATTCATTTTGGTGTGGATGTTAGCCTCCAGATTGCCAAATAATATTAAAAAGGTTTAAATATCTGCTATCAAGCAATCCATTCGACTCCTAAATGGAGTCATCTTCGGCAAGCAATCCATTTAATTGCAGTCGCAACTAGTTTCGACTCCTATGTGGAGTCATCTTCGGGCGGTACAAGGACTTCTTCTTTCTTCACATGAAGAGCATCATATTTAACATGTAAAAATAAATAAACATTTACAAACGACACGTATATATTTACGGATACTAATAACCTCAAATATGAACCCTAGTATGGCGGCATCGTATGGATATAATCTAATGCTTCATTAGTTGACTATTGATGCGGCTCCAATAATTCAGAGATTTTTCTGAACAATCCCTTAATTCATTTTAATCATTTTTTCCTCTCATCCTTACTCTAGTATGTTGTGCCCATCAACATACTAACCTAACATTAAAGCTCTAGGATAATTTTGTAATGATCTATCTTTTTCGCCTTTAATTATTTAATCGGTACTTTCAAATAATTACATGGACGATTCACTTTCAACTACTTTTCGTGCCACCCTTATACAGCACGCTGTGGCAGTTATTTTAGGTTGGGTTATTATAATTTTTTATGACTCATGTGGTATTGATGGATTCATATCGAAACAAAGAAAGTCCTACAAACATATTAATGATTATGTTTATGTTAACATCTTAATGGTTATGTTGAACCTAACATAACGGCTGCAGCGCGCTGTAAAATAAGTGGCCACCGTATAATACAAAAGTACCATTTTTCTATAAGCAATATTTTTTCTTCCTAACTTTCTTGTTGATGTTACACAAAGCTATACTATAGACCATAATCCGTTCTCTCATTTAGTCTCTTTACAGCTACAGGTGTCAGAGGCATCTGAGCCATAATGTATGACTGTAGATGATAGACAGTGATCACACTTCTAGTTGTGTCTATGAATGTGTGTGAGAAAGAAGTGGAGATGATCACACTTCTAGTAGTGTCCATGAATGTGTGTGTGTGAGAAAGAAGTGAAGATGTTCGCACTTCCAGTAGTATACACGTGTGTGTGAGAGGGGAGGTGGGGAAATGTTCGCACTCCCAGTTTAGCTCAGTTTGTGTTGTAGGAGCTGAGCCAACAACTTGGTGACGACAAGAGCCTCTCCGAACACCTCAAACTACCCGTACAACGCATCAACGACTACCAGCTGCTGCTCAGGGTGAGTGTCAACAGTGGTAGTGATAAGCAGTCTTGAGTGAATAACGATAAGTATCAGTCGAGTGGATAGCGATAATCGGGATAAGTCGTTACAAGTGGTTGGACCAGTAAATGTTTTTTTTTCCTTGGATGCTAAGCGCGAGCACGGCCGTTTTTCACATTAATTCAGGCTATCACTTTGAAATCCTTTGGTTATTTGGCTGGATTTGAACACGGGACCTCAGGGACCAAAGTTCCACGCTCTACACTATATCAGCTCACTCCCCCACCAGTCATGAGTGGTTAGTGAACAATAATCTATTAGAGGTGTTTGGAAAGAAGTATCATTCTTTAACAGTTAGCAATAAGCATAAATCCATGGTTGGCAATAAGTCATATCAGTCTTGAGTTGGAAGCAATATACAATGAGTTGTTGAGCCGATTTCAATTTCAACAATCATAAAAGTCGACGAGCATTTACAGAGATACATTGAACTGTGTCAACAGTGTATCGATATTGAAAGTTTGATCACCATCGCCTAGGCAAATGATTATCACAAATAAATTTAGTTATTAAATTTAAAAATTACAATTTTCTCACGAATAAAACAAAAATTGAATACACCAACAGTCTTAAAGTGACAACTATCACAAGTGGTTATCAATGATTCCATCAGACGAAAGTGCTTAGTGAAAAGTCAACTAACAGCTGTGAGCAGTTAGCGATGAGTCACCTGTTACGAGTGATTAGCAACAAGTGTCAGTCCTTAGAAGCTATCTACAAGTACTTAAGTATACCATCACAAGTGGTTGGGTAATGGTATTAGTTAAAAGTCTTAATTGGATAGGAATCAATCTTTAGTCTAATGAAGTCAGTGACAATAAGCCATAAAATATAATTTTCCTGACAGCCCGGAACTAATTGTATTAAATTTGTAAATCTGTTTACTCATGGTGTTAAAAATTGTATTGAAGATAAATTAAATAACATAAAATAAATTATAAAGGATATTAAAGTTTTCATGAACATATGTCAGGAGATTCCGTACTTGAAAATACCCTTACAGAGGGTAATAAAATGCTTGTGTTTAACTAAAATTTATGATTATTATTTAGAACTTTGTTTTAGGTGTTTTGTGAAGAATATTTTTTCTACAAAATAAAAAAACAACACTAAGTCCAGTTATAGTAAAAAAATTCAAATTACATTCTGTCTAACAAAATTCAAAATAAATTTGGCATCCTATCTTGAAAGTATAGCCAAGTGATAAGTGAAATGGATGCCAAGAAAGTTGAAAAAAGACAATAGCTCTATAACACATATTGCTTGATTTAATATCAGATTTAATCACTATTAATTCACTGCCGTATTTAATAATAGGATATTTTGTGAAAGTTATTACACTTTTGTTGGTAATAACTAGATCTAAGATTTTATAACTACCGTACATAATTTGTCTACTACAATGCATTTTGTTGTATTTTCTTATCTTACTCCATTATACCATCTACCATCTGAATTTCAACTACTGTGATTCCTAATATATATACTAGCAGATTACTCGTCTTTCGTACCGGGTTAGCGTAGAAGTATAAAATGTTTATTGCAGTTATGCTTTGTGCAATGGAAAAGGGCACGGTTTAAGATAATTTGGTTCTTTCAATATACGGTACGGTACATGCTATATAGTATTAACACATCTACCATAGCCAATGTTTTACCACTACACCTAAGCAATAAAAAAAAAAAAAAAAGGAAACTATCGAATATTTGCACAAAATAAAAAAATTATTTATAAATTAAAAACATAAACTTAATTGTAAACAATCCTACTTTGACAGTTATCATTGTTTATCACCGCTTTTTATTGCTGCTTGGTTCGAATTAGCTGTTGTCAAATGCAAAAAAAATAGTGGTGCTGCTCCCCGTTGGTAAGCCTTATAACTTTTTAATGATATTGAATGTCATAGAACCACATTGTGCAGTTGAAACAGCCTACAAAATTCTTTAATTCCTTTTAAATATGAATACTCATAAGGTTAACATGGGAAACCCCAGAGCCACTGTGGCGGAGCTTGAAAGGATTTTTGAGATAAGAATATGTCTATATGTTAAGCGGGAATGTGACCTATCATCATACCAAATTTCAGCCCAATCCGACCAGTAGTTAATGTGTGATTGAACTTCAAACAAACACACAAACTTTCACTTTTATAATATTAGGAAGATGATGTTTCACAAATAATAGTGCAAAACTAAACAGGTGTATTTTCTCTTTGCCTCCATTAACACAGCTGTTAATGCCAACAATGAAAAGAGCATTATTAGTATGTTTGGACATAATTATCTTGTGACTTGATTTACTGTGACAATCAGTAGCCATTTAATAAACAAGTCTGTCACTGTTTTATTCTAGTTGCAAAGACAACAAATATACACAATGAAAGAAAAATTATAAAAATATGGTGTTCCAATCATCTATTTTAACAGCTGTTTTAATCAAGACAAACAAAATATCCATGTTTAGTTTTGTACCATTAGTTTTTGAACACTCTGTTTTATGACTGTATTTATTTAACACAATTAAATTCCAAGAATTTATGATAGTTTCAAGAGCTTTGGTTAGGATGCAAATTCTATTTGAATCAATGAAGTTGTAGTGAGTTATCTCTAAAATTTAAATAATATAAATAGTGGTGACCATTTTGGCGTGAACTTCAAGCGAAGTGTGATAGTTTTGGCACTTTGTTCTAGTTTTTATTGCCAACAAAACATTGGGACAAATGATGTTTTTGACATAATACAATTTGTACTCAACAGATTTAGGTTGTCTGTTCCATTTTGATGTGAAATTGCTTCAAATTGATTATCCCGAAACACTTTGCACATGTAAACACATTGGAAATTCATTCATCTTTATAATTTTACAATCATCTTCAAATGTCACTAAAATACAAATGGCCAACACAAGAAAATCTCTTACAAAAACGATGCTTCCTAATTTGACTTAAAACACAACAATAACGTAAATTAGCCATGTTAAGATCTTCTTACATCTTCTTCCATTAATTATTTTCCATGTGTAAATTTAAACTAATTAATATTTTACTTTAATTATGAATCAGTATCTTTTTATGTAATTTTTGGCTGTTTTAGTAAGTATTTAACAACCATAATCCTCTCATATATACATTGTAATTGATAACCACAAACATAACTGGCATGTATAATCCTATATGTTATTGCACTTACTTTAAACATTAAATCACCAATAATAATTTTTTTTATTCCCTCTATAATACTGAATAAATTGTTTAACTTATTCTTCAAACCAACTAACCAAGTTAAAAACTTAGTCACTTCCTGTAAAGTAGATGTTAAATCACTGTAGTTTACTAAAAAATAATGCAAGTAAAAACTTGACACCTTTCAGCAAAATCGGAAATACAATGTCCCAGAGTATTATTTCATACCACTGCATGGAAATGGTCATATTGCCATACAGGTAAACAGTACGCAAAATAGCTAGTTGTCGCTCTAGAGCCGGAATGATCCATTCCCGCTCGATAAATCAGCTGATATCGCTTTTGGCGTTTCTACACCAACCACACATCCGCAGATCCGGTTAACGTTAGTTAAGCAAGTAACACAACCTTAAAAAAAGCAAACGTAACCTAAATTACATTTTATGTACCTCTAAAAAGTTAATCTGTGTGTAATAACAAACAGATTGACTTAGAATAATGAGTAAATTATGGTGGTAGGAAAAACATAGTGTGTATTACGAGCACAAACAGTCATTGGCGCTCTCGAAATGTATGGTCACACTCAGCTAAAGCTTCGTGCAGCTTCCTACAGTCCTAGAGCAGCAATGAAGTACTTTGCGCTCTTAATACACAAATAGCTATTTTTATGAGTTAACTGGTTAAAAATAAGTTTTTCAGTTTTAGTCACTATTTGTTTTTGTTGTTTTTTTTTCAGTTTTCATTTACACTTTTAGCGCTTTAACTAATATTTATAAGATTTTACCATACTTAGTCACCTATAATTGATCAATGAATTACCTTTGAATGGTGTACTACGTAATAGATAAATTAAATGATTAGCACAAAAAAATGACTAGTAAATCAATTGACTTATTGTATTATTCAGAACTTTTGGGTAATGTTTTGCTCCGACATCAACAAGCGTAGTTTATCGAGAGGAAAGTGATACCGGTTCTGGTGGACATGTGCACAGTTTGGCACTCTTTCACATTCCATCAGACGCCGGCCACTTCCTATACCGTCTGCTGTCGGTCTTTTTATTCCGTCCATTGTTTAATGTTGGACGGTGCATAAGCTTTGTTCAGCTCTTTGGCGTTTTGGCTTTAGTCTCGGGATGTTTCAATCCAAACTTTTTGTGATAGCTCACAGCTCACAATTAGAAGTGTTTAGTGGATTTCCTTTACACACTCTGTGAACTTGGATAGTAAACATGTGTTGGTTATGTAAACTGGTGACTTCTTATACAGTACTACCATTGCTGACTGGTTTCTTAGATAGACTGTGTTTACTCTTTTACAATTACTATTTACATTTGTGGCAGTTGGCGGCTAAGTTTTTCCCATAATAATTTAGTCTGTTTTTTATTAGCGAATTTCCCATATAGGGAATAAGCTATTACCGTAGGTCTCATGGTAAGACCTAGACCCGTAACCGATTTTCTTTTTCGTTTTGAGGTCCCCAGAGGCCAAAAACACCATCCGTTCAAATTCATATATATATATATATATTTATATATATATATATTTATATATATATATATTTATATATATATATTTATATATATATATATTTATATATATATATATTTATTTATATATGTGTCCGTTAGCGCGATAACTCGAGCAAAATTGATCCGATTTTGATGAAATTTGGTACAAACGTGTAAACCTACATTTATTCGAACGAGTTCGCGAACCAGCATAATCGGACCATGGGATCAGGGGTTTATGGGGTAAAAATGGGTTTTTCTCATTT